CCAAAAATATACCAGCGTTGCCGCTTTCTCGCCTGCTGTATATTGGGCGCACATGTCGACAACGTTGACTTTGGAAAGGGACCAAACGAGAGATGCGCCAGACCGGTACGCGTTAACCGGGCGATGCGGAGTTCACGCATCCTATAACAAGTGGCGCACATGGGGAAGGCAGTGGCGCGCCTAGGCGCAAGCCCACACCGCGCCAGCCACTTGTGTGGAATGTCAGCATCGAATGGCTGACTGGCCCGGAGAGCAGACTGGTGCATTGGCGGAGAGAGAGAGAGAGAGAGAGAAAAAAAAAGAAAGAGCGAGGGCGGTCAACCCTAGAGACACCGCCCCCGCAGCACTTTGTCGCACTTCCTTACTGTAGACAATCTGACGCACTCCTAATCTACCAGGGTACGACAAAAGCCGTAGCTTGGAAGACCGCTAACTGACAGGATAACTCGTTCCTCCTCTCAGGACGGAGAGCCAGGCAGTTGGGATTCTAGCCCTCCCCCCTCCCCGCCTTGTTTCTGTTATGACCTACCCCATCAGGCGTAGACCAGGCGTCTGGGAGGCGTGTAGAGGGGTTGTTTAGTTTTGTCGACCACTGCGTCTGATCCCGCCTCGGGTCGCCTTGACTCAGTCCTAACACCGGGCGCACACACACACGATAGTTCAAGCATCGATTTTGATGATGTCCACCGTGTGCCCCACAGCAGAGGTGGGAGCAGGGGCGGTGACTTGCGCAGGGGTTTATAGTGCCAGTAGTCTTGCGCTGCATCTACCACACTCTCTCCTCCTCCCCCGCCTGAGCCAGGGGTCAAGACAGTGTCAAGAAGACCGGAGACGAGGGAGGCCGCAGGTGGACGGCTCGGAAGGATCCTCACCTCGGCGCTCCACTCCGCACCCCCTGGTCCACACAGCAAGTGACCAGGATTTTGACCGCAACAACAGTGGAGTGATGGCAGTGATCCAGCTTTGCGACGACTACCGACAACAGGGTTTGCCAGCGCACCCCGTAAATGTTGGCATTTGTTATTGCGCACAGATAACGCCTGCCAGAACCCGATGTGGCCCCCATGTTGGTCCAGCGCATATAACACGTCGACCGTTTCGGGGGCATACACACATGAGAACTTGGTCCATGCCCCACGTCCGCGAGCTAAACTCACTAGCAGCGGCCTACGGCGAATATTAAGACCGAAGACCACAGTGAGTGACCGATTACATGAAATGTCCGCTGACATTCTGAAATTCGTTTTCGATTAGGAAGGATTACTTAGGTAGGATTGTAATATTGATTATCGGGCGGCATAATCCTATGATATTTTGGACTCGCCATGATGTCGGCTTTTGAATGCACTTCTTTTCGACTTCCTGTAAAAACCGCACTCAATAAAAATGACTACTTGTGTAACATGTATTTTTCACATTGATCTTTGATGGTGTTTTAAATTCAAATATATTTCATAGAATACATGCACAAAGATATGCTTTCTTCTACTCGTTTGGTAGGAAATCACGCTGTCTTCAGATTTTACACACGAAGAAAGGATACCTTTCGGTTTTAAAAAAATTTCCCATTATGAGATTTTTTAGGACCATGACATGTCCATTCATGCAGCATCGTACCCGACTGCTTACCAATGCTCCTCACGAAATGTGCAACATAGCCCGCATCCATTGCAAATTTTTTATGAACTCTATATGGTATCTTCTAAAAGGCGCATGGAATATACGATTTTTTGCGCGAAAAGCATGCACCATGTAGATCGAAATCGCTTAACGATAGTGTGATGGCTGATCAGACTTAAAATTATCGGGAATTGGGAAACTTTTCGAAATCTAAATATATCCTTTTGAGTATAAAATGTACAGAAAACGTGATTTTCTACCAAACTAGTAGAAGAAAGCATATCTTTGTGCATGTATTCTATGAAATATATTTGATTTTATAACACCATCGAAGATCAATGTCAAAAATACATGTTACACTAGTAGTCATTTTTACCGAGTGCGGTTTCTACAGGAAGTCGAAAAGAAGTGCATTCAAACGCCGACATCATGGCGAGTCCAAAAAATTGTAGAATTATGCCGCCCGATAATCAATATTACAACCTTACCTAAGTAATCCTTCTTAATCGAAAACGAATTTCAGAATTTCGGCGGACATTTCGACCGGTGCCAAATAAGCGGCCACAGGTCTTCCATTACGGCTACCTTACGTACTATTGTTTGTTCAGTAGGTGTGCTTGTGGTATTTTTTTTTGCCGCGGCGGCAAAAAAAAATACCACAAGCACACCTACTGAACAAACAATAGTACGTAAGGTAGCCGTAATGGAAGACCTGTGGCCTCCATGGCTAGAAGGAAACATTCAAACACACCTAGCAACCCGCCTCCGTAGGGTTTACGTGGAGTTCCCATTCCCTGTTGCCTAAAATTTATGTCTAACATACAATGCAACTTCTATGCATTTACGCACACAAACTTCCCTTACTCCAAACCACCTCTGGGCAGTTCCCCATGCGTTGCAGTTGCGCTGTTAACTGCCCGTTTGACGGTTTCTCGGTTTACGTAGTGTTTCCCGTCATCATCTCTCGGTTTCCAATCATGGTTCACTTGCCTTTCCTCCTACGCATTCGGAGTCCACCTAACTGAGTTGCCAGCATTCCCATTTCGTCATTAGGACTACCACTTACGCCAGCTGTCCACTAACGTTTCCAGCCCGCCTTCAACTTCCGGGCGTACACCTGACCCTGCAGGCCTTCTCTCCGCATATTCTGCAACACCCACCCCTCCCCCCCCCAAACTAAAAGGCTTACAGCCTACGTCGTCCAAACATACGTCTGCCACTTTGGGGTAGCTGCTACCACAGGCATTCGGCTCTTAGACCACTGCCGTATTTACATACACCTCTACCGCCTAGCCCACGCCTTTCCCCTTCCCCCCTTCCGAAGGCCTGTAATCTACGCCATGCCGATATCATTTCCCGCAGTACCGCTCCCTTTTACGCAAACTTACCGCAATCGACAATTCCTTCATCGGCTGTTTCCATTTCCGCCTGCTTCACAGTCTACTGTCCTTCCCAACCGGCTTTGTTAGTTGACCTGATATGCCCTTCCCTGCGGGTGGGTCATGTCGGTCGTTACCAGCTACAGCTATTCCTACTTATCGTCTACCGTGGCCGGCAGCGGCCTCAGACAGTCTCTACGTATCTCCCAGTTCCCGCCCTAAAGGCCTTCCGTAATCACTTCCTTCCTGACCTACAAGGGTTTATCGACGAGGCTTAGTGGACGTCATTGCATTATTCTACGTACGTAAATATGTTTACGTACCAAGCCTCCAAGGTTGGTCGATTAGTCGTAATCCTTGCCGTTATATGATGGCTACGTTACCACTGCTAGAGACAGCCCCCCATCCAACAGACAACGTCCGTTCAATTCCCCCATTAGTGATCCATAGGCACCTATCAGCTAACGCAGCCCTTTGGATGACAGTTATTCAACTGCTTACCACACCTTACCACCTTCCGGAGGCTTCGCAGTACCGTAATCACTAACAACATGGACATATGAAATATTTACTCTGAATTATTAAAAGGTACAATACACTGGCCAGGTAGGGGGACTGGCGAGGTAGGGGAAATCGTCCCCGACTGCCTTGGGCCGCCGGTTGGCCACAACAGTAATATACAACAGTTTGGTTTACAATAAAAAGGGTACGCAATTACACGCTTCCAGTTCCATGCGGTAACTCCTTGTTCACCTGCAGATGAATCTTCGGAAGAGAATCCCTCATCACCAGAAGACAATGGTACCTTTACTGTAGGTAGGCATGGACAGTAAATAAACGAGGTATGTAGTATTCCCTTTACGTATTCCATCTGGGTCTTCGTTCGCTGCCTTCATCATTCGTCCATGGTTGGTTCTCCACAATCGACAGCTTCCTCTTTGACCGGCCGGTAACGGTCACCGGCACTACAGCTAGGCATGGAGAGTAAGTGGACGAAGTACACAGTCATACCTTCCAGTCTTCTGTCATCACCTTCATTGGTTGGCTTCCCCAATCCTCCATGGTTGGCTCTCCACAATCGTCAGCTCCCCTCTATGACCGGCCAGTAACGGCTACCGGCACTAAAGCTAGGCATGGAGAGTAAGTGGACGAAGTACACAGTCTTACCTTCCAGTCTTCCGTCCGTGCCTTTCATGGTTGGCTTTCCCAGTCGTCCATGGTTGGCTCTCCACAATCCACAGTTCCTTCTATGACCGGCCAGTAACGGCTACCGGCACTACAGCTAGGCATGGAGAGTAAGTGGACGAAGTACACAGTCATACCTTCCAGTCTTCCGTCCGTGCCTTTCATGGTTGGCTTTCCCAGTCGTCCATGGTTGGCTCTCCACAATCGACAGTTCCTTCTATGACCGGCCAGTAACGGCTACCGGCACTACAGCTAGGCATGGAGAGTAAGTGGACGAAGTACACAGTCATACCTTCCAGTCTTCCGTCCGTGCCTTTCATGGTTGGCTTTCCCAGTCGTCCATGGTTGGCTCTCCACAATCGACAGTTCCTTCTATGACCGGCCAGTAACGGCTACCGGCACTACAGCTAGGCATGGAGAGTAAGTGGACGAAGTCCACAGTCATACCTTCCATTCTTCCGTCCGTGCCTTTCATGGTTGGCTTTCCCAGTCGTCCACGGTTGGCTCTCCACAATCGACAGTTCCTTCTATGACCGGCCAGTAACGGCTACCGGCACTGCAGCTAGGCATGGAGAGTAAGTGGACGAAGTACACAGTCATACCTTCCAGTCTTCCGTCCGTGCCTTTCATGGTTGGCATTCCCAGTCGTCCATGGTTGGCTCTCCACAATCGTCAGCTCCCTCTATGACGGGACAGTAACGGCTATAGGCACTGTAGGTAGGCATGGAGGGTAAGTGTAGGAAGTACAGAGTCATACCTACCAGTCTTCCCTCCGCGCCCTCCATGGTTGGCTCTTCCAATCGTCCATGGTTAGCTTTCCACAATCGACAGGTCCTTCTATGACCGGCCAGTAACGGCCACCGGCACTGCAGGTAGGCATGGAGAGTAAGTGGACGAATTACACAGTCATACCTTCCAGTCTTCTGTCCGCACCTTCATTGGTTGGCTTCCCCAATCGTCCATGGTTGGCTCTCCACAATCGTCAGCTCCCCTCTATGACCGGTCAGTAACGGCTACCGGCACTACAGCTAGGCAAGGAGAGTAAGTGGCCGAAGTACACAGTCATACCTTCCAGTCTTCCGTCCGTGCCTTTCATGGTTGGC